ATTTAAAAAACGGTTGTGTTTGAGCCAAGAAAAACTAGTTTGAAAATTCACAAATTTTCCGTGTTCTCCTTCTTCTCCTTGAATGTTGACGGACCTACAGCCCAAACCACTGGCTCAATTTTAATGTTTTTTATGTTGTTTGAAAGCCCTTGACGTGTAGATGTGCCTTTTGAGGGTCTCAAGTCGGTGCGTTGACCCATAAACCCTTGGCAAGCCCTCAAAGTACGATTTTGGCCCATTTAAATAACATGGGATTAAAATCAAAACAAAAGAAGGACCAGCTGCGATTAAATCTCAATTAATTTAAATGTTAGAGATATTCATAGGAACAGCTGAAATAGTATATTTCATTACTAGGACCGAAAGTGGCATTTTCCGTCGCTCGCTCAAGTTTTTGTGTGCACACAGGGAACATCAATTTCACGTGCGAGGCGAAGCCGAGTATGAATAATGGAGCAAGTGCCGGATAATAACTTTCGGTACGAGTTATGAACGATACTTTTCATCACGACGGAAAAATACACAAACACAGAATAGCAGACCTCAGTAATATTACAACTATTTTATTTCTCATTTAATTTGATTGAACATCAAAATAAAATAAAATTTTCTTAAAGAAAACCTACGTATACTTTTCAATACATTTTGATTAAATATCAAAATAAAAGAATAAAACAACTTTGAACAATACATACAGCTGATTCAAATCATTAAATTAAACCACAACAAAACACTAGCGCACGTAGTGAATAAATAGAGAACTAATTGAGAGCGAGGGAAAGTCAATTTAGAGCGAAGGAAAATCAGCTGATCGATTTTCCCTCGCCCTAATTAAGAGCTTGGGAAACGACTACTTTCATTGATGTCAGCTGTCATCGAAAGTAGTTACTTTCGTTACGGAGTGATGAAAAATTATTTTAAAACTTTAATAAAGTATCTTTTCAGGTATACCGAATGATTTGAAGTACTTACTATACAATTAACTTAATTGTATAAAATTACTTAGAGCAGTGATATTCCCCGATACTTTCCATTGAAAAACGCAGTGTACCGATAGTACACTGGTACAGCTGAGCAGCTCGTCATTTTAACAGTTTAATACTACTTATCAAAACATATGAAACCTAGGAACTTAAAACTTAGTACTAGTACTAAGGTTTGTTTTATGTTTTTTTACACTAAAACAAATAAATTAATCGGGAAAATCACTCTACGTATGTTAAACAAGCAATTAAAAAGTGATATGTAATTTTAGGATAAATGAGTTTTTCAATATTTGTTTTGCCTTATGCTATTTCTAACAAACCTAATCTGTTTGATTACATTTTTAATTCTATAATAAGGGCTCAATTTACACTAGTCTTTAGATATACGGGTTTAATTATCAGAACACTTATGTAACACCAACGCATTTTATGTTGTTCAAGATGACCATTGATGAAATTTGAAACTGAGTTTAAGCCCAGGGGGTTTGTTAAATAGTAATTTTGGTACGTGTGTCAAAAAGTTTTTAATCGGTTTAAAGCAGATAAGACCAAAAATGTAGAATTTAGCTCTACACAAACAATATTATTGAAATTAAATGAGATGTAGTTGTGCCGTGGTCTATATATCAGAGAAAAGAGGACTTTTATTTTAACTGTTGATTTTCTACAAAAATAAATAAAATCTAACAAAAACCACTAAGTGGTAACACTTTCCCCGCCAAGTCAGCAATCCAAAAAAGATAATAAATCATTACTTTTTCCGCCAAGAAAAACAATGTAATATATGTAAGTTTGACAACTTGGCGGCAGACTTTTGCTCGATCACTTTAAAAATGCCATAAAACTAGTTTCATTGAGCAAGTATCTCTCCCATTAGTACATTGCTAGGTGAGAGCTTATTTTACAAAATTTGACCTTATTTGTGCCACATTTTATAAAATCATAATAGTGATGGTTTTATATTTACTGATTACCTCGAAATTATTATATACTTAGTTGGACTAATTAATTAGAGAAGTTGATTTGTGAAATTATCCACGAACGTAACTTTAATGAAAATAACCAAGCAAAAGTCTGCCGCCAAGTTGCCAAACTTACATACATTACATTGTTTTTCTTGGCGGAAAAAGTAATGATTTATTATCTTTTTTGGACTGCTGACTTGGCGGGGAAAGTGTTACCACTTAGTGGTTTTTTGTTAGATATGTTTTATAAGTTAACTAGAGTTCCAGATTAATAGTTTAGTTTACCTTAAACATGATTGATTTATTTTCGTTAGACATATTTTTAATGAGATTCAGTAAGAAAACTAACCTCTTAACACTTGTATAAATATGCTCCAGACTCAAGAGCATAAAGTAAAGACCATGACATTTTTTTTTGCAAGTCCTTAAAATCAGCATTAGAAAATACATTATACAGCTGAAAATCACATCTTAGAGTCTTCGGAGTGTTTATTTGCAGTTTTATGTATACAAAAATACTTATTTCTGACAGTAGATTTATTATCAGTGGAATTCATTAGTTTTGAATGAACGTAACCTTTTTTGGCCTAACACAAAACTGTATGATCCGATGGAAGAGGAAATCCGATGTTAAATATAGGCCAATAAACTAAAAAATATGTGATTAACCGTTACAACATCAACTCTTAGGCCTATAATATGGTGCAGCTTTAAAAATGATAATACTGTAATGATACAATTTTTAAATGCAGAATTTTTATGTTGGTAATTTAAAATTTTTACTGTGTCAATAATGCGAGTTTATTTAGGCCTACAAAGGTTTTCAATTACTTGAGATGAACGAAATACGAATGACTCGTTTTTGTGCAGTCACACAAAATGTGTGAAAATGTGCAAATATCACCGATACTTTTTAAATAAACCTGAACTACTATTTATTTTTTATTAAGTCACGTTTGAAGATAGAAATCTACGTTTCATATTAGTTATGTATGGACAACATATACAATATTTACATGCTAATAATAAGAAAGTCTGGTCTTTATACACACATTCCAATCAAAAATAATTTTATGTGAAATGAAGAGGCTTGAAAACCAAACAGATATTTTTAAATAGTCTCCCGAAACTATATTACGATTGGCAACGTTAGACGTATATGTAATCTTACTAATACTGTCATGATTATTTCATTCATTTAATCCATAATTTCCGGAAAACTAAAAATAATACTAAGCTATGAAAACAGAAAAAGTTCAACTAATCTGAAAGATTGGCGACAAACATGGACAACGCAAAACAAAAGCCTGAGGGATGCATTTTCTTTATCCTAAAGGCGGTTCCAGACATGCGCCAGTCACCAAGCACGAAATATTAACGTTCAGTGATTTAGTTGTCTTGCTATTCACCGATTAAAAAGTAGACTTATACTACACACATGTGTTGTTTTCCGAGCAAGTGTTAGTTTTTCCGTCCGTAGGGAACAGAAAATATTCGTTTACTTTTATGTATGCAAAAATACCGATTATGTGCAACACTACGTCACAGTGGTGGATAGTTGTACGAAAATGTAACCGTAAAATCTGAAAACAGCCAGCTTTATTACCTAAAACATATGGGATATTGCAGTGAATCTATGGTATTTACTCAGGGGAGGTATAGAAGAGGCTACGATGACAGCTGAGGGCTTCTTATTAGCTGAGGGAACGCCATTACCGTAACAAAACATTCGCCAGCCATCGGCCTCGGTGGTCTATTGGTTAGCGTGCCGGGCTGATATACTGAAGGTCCCGGGTTCGAATCCCGCTGATAGCATTAACTTTTTGTCCAAGATTTTTTTATTATCAGCAAGTTTGGTTGGTTTTGTTTGGTTATTACAGTTTAATTTTATTATTAAGTCATTATAAAATTTTAATTGAGCAATTTCTAGTTTTATTTAATAAACAGAATTATTTTTCCGATTACTAAACTTTTGTTATATTATTTCTTTATCAGCAAGTTTGGTTAGTTCGGTTAGGTTATGATAGTTTAATTTTATAATTAAAAAATAGTAAAATTGAATTTGAGGCATTTATAATTTTATTTTATGAACAGAACTATTTTTGCGATTAGTAAACCTTCATTGCCAAAGTGCTCTCTACTACAGCGCTGTTCACGGAGGAATTTTGAACTAATTGCCTCATTTGTACCTCCCCTAAGTCAGACCCTGAATCTATCCACTAGTGTGACGTCATGAACCTTCAGCATGGCGTGTTTTTCTAGTGGGGCCTTGGTCGAAATCCCAAACAATGGACTTTGACAGGTAGAATGTACAGTCAGGTCCCAAAACAAGAGACTTAAGACAAATGTCCAGATTCGTCGTTGCACGACACGACGAAACTGGACACATTCAAATGTGTCCAAGCTTAACGTTGCACGCAAACGACGAACCTGGACACATTTATAAGTTGTCCAGGGTTGTCGTTTGCGTGCAACGTTACCCTTGGACACATTCAAATGTGTCCAAGTTTAACGTTGCATGCAAACGACAAACCTGGACAAGTTTTTAAGTTGTCCAGGGTTGTCGTTTGCGTGCAACGTTACCCTTGGACACATTCAAATGTGTCCAAGTTTAACGTTGCATGCAAACGACGAACCTGGACAAGTTTTTAAGTTGTCCAAGGGTGGCGTTGCACGACACGACGAATCTGGACACATTCAAAAGTGTCCAAGGGTAACGTTGCACGCAAACGACAACCCTGGAAACTTGATCTGTCCAACTTTAACGTTGTCCGCGTGTGTCGTTGTCCAAGTTCGGCGCGGTCCCCCTTTGACTTTCTAAGACGTAGTACCTTGAACCCGTTTTACACATTACTTCATTCTAGACCTAGAGGGCTGCAACACTATCACTTATATGGAATCCTTTGGTGATTGGTGGGAATTAATCCTGAGGCTTTGGAGACCACTAGACCAGCTTGATACCATACAGAATCGATTAGTGCTTATATTTATTATACTCATTCCCTCTGTGTTTATTCTACAGTGTCTAACGTACGTGTTTTTTTTACAGAGGAGGCAAGGACGGGCGGAGAGCGAGTGCTGATCCATTGTCAGGCCGGCGTCTCACGGTCAGCCACCATCGCCATTGCCTACATCATGCAGCATCGCCAGCTCACCATGATAGAAGCCTACAAACTGGTCAAGACGGCTAGACCCATCATCTCCCCCAACCTCAACTTCATGGGTCAACTCCTGGAGTTGGAGCAAGGCCTCAGAGCGGACAACTCCCCGAGTGAATGCAAGCCTTGTCACCAGTGCCGCTGGAGTCACCAGAGCTCCGAACCCCCCACTTCTGGTTGCAGCGTGTAGTCACGTGATTGACGCAGAACATACATTACCTTACTACTGTCGCTGGTCGTGTCGTCTGCACACCGCACAGTATTATTACTACGGATGGATCAAGGAGGCGGTCACTACGCTTTACCGTGACTTTTTCATTCACATTGGATGTTTTATTTGATTTTTAATAGATCGAGGAGTTTTTTTTACTTTCACTTTTTAATTTTGCCCGTTGATTTAGTTTCGGAAGTATTTTATTTTGCAGTGAGGTAAAGATTTTAATTTTTTCCGAGTTTCGATGTAAATAGTTGTGACCGAGATTGGCGGGAAGGTCGATTCTAGTCGTTTTTTATTTATTTTGGGATATAAAGGCTGTGTATTGTACCATGTTGTATAGTTTGTACAGAGCGTATTAGTTAGTATGAGTACCGCGTGTTAGACTATTGTATATTTAGTATAGGTCCTAACCAGGCTTTATTTCGCTTAGGTAGTGTAAGTTTTTCATTTCTTAAGACACAAGGTCATACATGTTTTGATTTGGAAGAGTTTTTCATTTGTATTTTGACTTTGGCATCGCCAAGTTGAGGAATGTAATTTTAAGTTTCAGCCAAATATAGTTGTAAAGCACAATGCTAGATTTGGTACTAGTGAAATTTGTTTATATTGTTAGAAAGTTTTCAGTTCACAATTTTTGTAATCGCTAGATTTGATTTCGATTTTGCAAACTAGTGAGTACGAGTAATATCAATTGTCTTCAAATTATGTGCCTTTAAACAAATATCAAACACCACATTGTATTGTTTTGAGTAGTTCAGCCTTGTTTGGTATTGAATTTCCTTTCGATATTTAGTGGTATTAAAATAATCTTTATTAAACTGCTTGTGTTGTTATTTTCTTATCCATTATCTGTAGCTCTTTTGACCTGATTGCTCTGATGTGACTCAACTAATGGAAATTACAGATGCAAAGTTGTAGTTTCCACTTTCAAGTGTATTAGCCACTTATATGGGTAAACCCAAGCTTCTAAAATAAACAGTTGAATCAGAATATAGATGTTTGTGATATGACTGAAGACATTACTGTCTTTCCAACTCATGGTTTGTATTGAATCACAACCAAGGAAAGGAAAATGTCCTATTAAAAGATGTATGCAAAAATATGCAACATAATAGACATTACATTTTATGAGTTGAGTCATAATAAAGAGAATAGGATCTTGACTGTGAGTGCCTTATGGCAACTCAGTTTAAATTAACAATGAAACAATCCGAAACTCTTGTCCTTATTCTTGTTCTTCTAACAATATTTTGTTTAGAATCAGGACAAGGAGAAAATTATATTTTAAGTGTTCAAAAACATGCAACATACTATACAATTTTTAAGTCAAAGAAAATAAGAATAGAAGATGGTCTGTTATAACAATACATGAATATAAAGCTTTACTACATTTGCAACTTTTTAATTATTTAGTTTAATTTTTTAAACTAACAATGAATTTCTCATAAACTCTGGTCATTATTTTTCTTCTTACAACTTTTTAACCAGAACCAGAAACATAAGAATATTTGATTTAAATTGTGCACAAACATGTAACAAAATATACATGAAATTTCATGAGTTAAATTGTAGAAAAGAGGAGATATTCTGTTATACATTACTGTACGGGGCTTATCTTTGCAACTAAATATGTATTAAATCAGCAGTCATCAACTTCTTGAACAGGTTCTTGTTCTTAAAGTACGTATATTCTAATGAAGAATGACATTCTTCTAAGTTTGTAAATAATATGACGAACAAATTTGTGACAAATTATATTTTCAATTTTATCAACAAAACACTAATATAATAAATGTTGCTCTTTTTTGACGAATATATCTTTAAACTTTATATCTTTTACAAATGTAAAATTGTTCAATTTGCAGAAGTCACACCTTTTGGACCCCCTTGAAAGCCTTCCTTTTGCACTATTTGGCCATGAGAAAGGCAAGCAGCTACGTGATTATTTACCAGTAAATAGGGAAAACATACCAGTAATCTATAAATATTTTTAAATCTGTGAAAATATTTTTTGAAAACACACAGAATAAGTTAAGAATAATATTGCAGAATACAATAAAAAACACTTTGTAGAGAAAGAGATGTGCTTGAAAAAAAAAAACTTTTGGATCATTAATTAATTACTTATCGTAGTTGGCTCATCAAAATAATCTTTATTTAATAATCTGTTAACACAAGGAAACCCTGGGAGACAAAATTGGAATAACTTTCCCAAAATTTGGCAAATTTCTTTATTTTATTGTGGACATTATTACATACATTATTGTACTAGCTGTTACCCATGGGCTTCACCCCATTTTACTTCATGAGTATCATTGACTATTGGATACAGAAGAATTAATAAAAGCAAAGATTACGTTGTAATCTTTGATAAAACTATTGATTGGTTGGTTAGCTGAAAAACAAAACAGAATACAGTAATAAAAACAAACAATAACACCTGATTTTAATTAAGGTAGTAAATTGAAATAATAACATACAAATAAGTACAGCTGAGGTATTTTTAACATTAGGTATATTGAAAGTTCCCTTTAGAAAGGAATTACGACCTTAAAGGGCAATTTATGAAATAATGGATAGTTTGCGCAAGGATTCTCGTCATGACGTAAATTTTAAGTAAATGGTTTATAGGGGTGTGACTTTTAGATTTTTCAATAGTTCATGGGTACTTTGGGATATACATGTAGATAATGTAATAATGTGATGTCATTGACCTACAACATGACCAAGAAAATAAACATAAACTCTATTAAACATACAATAGGGATTACTTTGTAAAACTGTGGACAAACGTTAAAGTTTACAAACATGTTCAAATGATGCCCTCCATTTTCTCTAGTGATTAACATATTTACTTCATCGCTGAAAAGGTGAAAATTATTTTTTAAGGCCTGTGTATGAACTAAAACAAACCAGAGTTTATATTCCAAACGTCTCTTCTGGCACAACTATTTCCGCACTCTCATAAACATAAGAAGCTAATCCCTCTTCTCCCAGGACGGCATGACTCAGGGCATTGCTCCTTGCAAGATGATCGTCTTAGAGTTGGGGAGAGACCCTTACTAGACCCTTAGCTCCTTAGTAGGGTCTGGGGATTATGTCATCCCAGGGGAGGGGAGATCTAAGAATCTGAGACTGGGCGTTGTCTCAACCTGTCAATCATTTTAGGAAAACAAAGAAAAACTATCCCCAGTTACATAAATTTGGATTTTTCAACCATCATAAAAATCACAATCACAAAAATTCATTACGGTTCGTGAAATAAAGTTTTGATTGGCATTACTATGGTGTGGTAGTCTAAAATGCATTAGAAAAAGATGGGACCATATTGAAAATCCATATATATATATATTATATATATTATTATATATATTATATATATATATATATCCATATATATTATTCAAATGTTGACTTTTTTCTTTTAGATTTTTTAACTATTGCCATTTCCATATCAGGTGGTGGGTTTGATGTAGGACACATACGGTGAGGTTGTCGAAGACAGAAAATATTATAGGCCTAGTCTCGAGATTTGAAGATGAAAATCAGTGCCAAGTCCATAATTTATCACCAAAACAACCAATTTAGATTTATTGAGTTTTGTAGAAAAATACATGAAATGCCCATTAGCCATAAATATTTCAAACGATTAAACACCCATACAGTCTTCTTAGCCCTCTTGAATTGAACTTTTGAAACAATTTTGTTAACAATAATAAAAACATAGATTTAGAATTTACAGATATTTCATAGAAACAGTACAGTAGCGTAAATTGCCTTTGTAGTGTGTGTTTGTGTGTAGCTTTGTTACTGACTCGGCCTTTAATTTCAGGTAGGCTACATGCATGATGCAACGATGTACATCGATGGCTACATGCAGTTGTATTGATAGTCAAAGCTACATGTTAAATGCTAAGATCAGCAGATTTTCTACGACCATTATTGAAAGTCCAATGATCAACGACAGCTGGCCCCGGTTTTACCCATAAAGAAACTACCACGAATATCTGTTTTTGGAACAGACTATTCTCTGGATCAAAACTAGATTTTGTAAACGCTATTTTTGATAAAGAGAAATTGTGTTGATTGTGATTTTCTAACAAAATGAACATCCGTTTATATGAGCAGTTCCAAAAAGGCCTCAGATAACTTAGTCGTATGTTTAAACAATTTCTGATATTAAAAACTATAATTCTTGTGTGTTATTATTATTTTTAGTTCATTTCCCATAAAGGGATTAAACTTTTACCTTAGGTATCATAGTAAGACCTGCACCTGGGACTAATTTTTTAATTAGTCCCTGGAGGCCAAAAATAACCATCCGTTCCGTGTCGTAACACTTCGGCCCAGTAACATTTCGGCCCGAAACCCTCAGATGTGGCCTACGGTCCAACTCTCTACCTGCCCACTAGTAACACTTCGTCCCAACAAAATATTTGACAGGTTAGGTTAGGTTAGGTTAGGTAAGATTCCACCGATTCTCCGTCATGTGAGGTCAGAGGATGCAAGGGGTGACGGTTGGGCGACATTCCACCAGAGGGTGGTTGCAAAGTATACAGGTCATGTACCTCTTACTACCTAAACTGCGTTCCTCAACCCTTGTCAATTTTTCGTCGGGCCGAAATGTTACTCCACTAGCTTATTTAATCATCTGTAAAAGCGAGTGGGACGAAGTGATACTGTTTTTCTAAGAAATTTGAGTTTGGCCGAAATGTTACGGGGCCGAAGTGTTACTACATCCCAAAAATAACCATCCGTTCAAATATACATTTTTATGACAGTTGGCACAAACGTGTAAAAGGAAAAGCGCGTGTCCGGACGAGATCGCGAACCCATCACGATTAAACTATGGGAACCCCCTTCTATGTGATAGGTTTATGGAGTAAAAATTAGATTTTCTCATTTTGACCCTCAAAACATAAAGGATTGAAATCTCCTTGTATACTATTCTGTAGAAATTGTATACCATTCTTAAAATCAAATACTTTAGTATGGAAGCGATGTTGTTCGTTTAATGGTTATAGAGAAAGTTTAAAAGAAAACTATAAATAAAAATTTTATATTTACGGCTCTGTTGTATTTTGCTTGTTTATGGATATATTAAAATTTGGCAAATTTATTGATTTTGTATTGAATTATTCTATTTGACTAAGACTCAACTTTTTCATCATCCCACTCAAAATAGGAAATGAATCTGACAGTTAATTACATGTTAATATTCGAGTAAAGTTCAATTCGCTCAGTCTGCAGGTTTGCTTTGGAGTATTTGGTAAATGAAATTATATCGATGTGAATAGCTGTTGTATAGAAGATGTGTGAATAATCCAAAGATCCTTGGAAGCTTCTAAGATCCAAACCAGTCAGTTTTCTACACCATCGTTTGTGTTATTTCTCACGTGCGTAGCGATGAGTAAGAAGTTCCTAGGTTTGCACGCCCGGACTGAAGGACTTCAGCTGAGTCATTGTACACTTCATCAGATGATGCGGCGATTATATTTAATAGGGAATACCAGTAATTGTCTTCTTGGTAGGTTTCAGACCGAAGAAGACAGCCCATAACCACAACGAAATTTCATTTCTTGCCAAACAATTAAAAATGTGTTAGAACATGATATGAATCTTAAAAGAAATTAAATGCTGAAGACTTACTATCATTACGTGTGTTCAATTTTGTTGTAAATAGTAAATGTAATCAATTCTTGAACTTAGGCCTACCATACACGTTCCGGTTTTCCTTCAGTCCTGGACTGAAGGAAAAACTGAACGTGTATGTCGATTCCTTCAGGCAGATCGTTGGCCGGACGGCCGGATGTGAAACA